AATTTACCATGGCTCTACTGAGTACCGATAATGATAATTAATTTATTTCTTTAGGTATTCTGCGAGATTGAACCATAATTGCATAATTTTCATCAATTTCATTTAATTGAAATTAAAAAAAGAAAAATAAATGAATGATGATGAAACCTCAGGCTCGCCTGAGGGATACTCCATTTCGCTGGATTTATCGTTCCTGGAATTCTCAATAAATGAACATGTACTTCATGTACATTCGATTAGAATGAAATCTATGTGGAGTTCAAATTAACCGTCACCCGATGGAGAAATGATTAACGCTATAAAATACATGTCTCATCGAATGAGTATGAATAATTTGAGCGTCAACTTTACATCACAGTGAAAAGAGAAATCCTCTCGGCCTGGAATCCTGAAAAATGGATCGTATTACCCGGATGGAAATACCCTCGTTTTTCAGGTTGTAAATATGAGGAATTGAAAAGCCGGAATTGGTTATGAATTTTCCGTGGTTAATGTGACACGGTATGACTACCAGTCAAACTAGTGATATCAATAATAATGACAGCATTAATTCATCCACGGTATATGCGTCATTCTCGTTCAGACTGTGCTGCTTGCATGAGTGAAAATACTCCATTTCACTTCATCTCTCGGCTCGACTCTACTCGCAGCTCCACAGGGCAACTTTATTCTATCTTCAAAATTAGTTCAGCCGTCTTGGCACGTCTTTGTCGAGCTGTTGGTGATAAAGTTTAGTATGCTAATTCGTTGAACAGCTGTGCGATTTACCCACCCTCAGGTGCTATCTCGCTATCGTAGCGGCACTACCACTGCCACCCAACAACTCCCACCGCCCAAATTTATTGAATTTAAATTGTGGTAATTAAAATGTGTTATGCCGGCTTCACTGCTTCCCCACTTGCTGGGACACATTCTGAATTACTGGAACGATGAAATTCGTTCTTCTGATGGCACTCCCCGGTTAATTCAGAACGTATATTCATCCTGCGGTGATAGAATTTTTCAGTGGAAATGAGAGAACCTCGTAATCCTATATGACAAATGCGTTCACGTAAGAATTCATTTCTCATCGCGCCCATTTTCCACGATGATTTCATATTCTAACATTGTCATTGAGTTTGTTTTATAAAAAATATTTTTTTAAATTGAAATAAAAAATTTAATTGTAACGAGAACTGAGGAAGGACCACAAAATAGTTTGAGTTTATCAGATAATTAGAATCTTAAAATCAGATATAATTAAAGAATTCGGGATTAATTCCATCACGAGATGGTCTATATGTCGGTGTTCTACGACTATTCGCTATAGTCGTGCTGTATGTCGCTGCTTTTCAGCTTTCACAGGAATGAATAGGGAGAATAGCCCTAGGCTTTTGGCAATCTGCCAGACAGCAAGTAACTTATTATATCTGGCATTAAATTATTATAGAGCTGGAGACCATCCCCGTCGCCCGCCCCTTTCACCTCATGCAGCACTCACAATGGGCATAACGGAGTGCATAGGAAACGATTAAACCCAATGACAGATTCTGGAATCCTGTGCTAAATGCAGTTCACCGTGACGTTCCCTTCTCTCTTTTCCTCGAGTCTTTTATCTGACTTCATTCGAAGGAATCGTATTCCCTCCCATCTAATTGTGCAAATACAATTGCCATGATACCCCTCTTTCATATTGAAACTTTCAATGATATCCAAATACGTCATAAAAATTATTAAAAATTATTCAATTGCACATTTTGGGTGAATAAACATTGAAAGTGTACGTAAGTCATGTAATAGTGTTTTCTCGGGGAATTAAGAAGGATTGCCATTGGAAATTCAATTGAGTGTATCCGACTGGTATATATCGCAATGGTTTTATTCGCTAGAGTGATTTATCGTAGTAGGTTTCGTATTGCTCTCGAATGGATAGCTTTTTGCTTATTAGGGAGTGACAATCAAGATAGCGAAGAAAAAAGCTCGTCTCAAGTGGAGAATATTGTGCTTGACATAAACCTTCATCTCGTCCAGCTGACAATTTTCAAATCGCCCATTGCCATGCTGAATTCCCGAATTCCCGAATTTTCAGGATTTTCTGAATTTCTGAGATTGTTTAAATTTTCACAATTTTTATAAATTCAGGTTTATGATTATGAGTTCATGATTAAATATCGAGGGGAATGCTATTTTTGTTGACTTGTGCAGATAAATATCGGTACATGAATTTATCCTGCGCATCCGTCGGTAAAACAGGTGTCTGACCATTGATTCCCTGTACTACTTGGCTCGTGGAAGTCAGTGAGTTCTCCTCAGCCAAAAAGCTCATTGCATTCTCTTACCATCATTAGATATTTTTCAGAAAATAAATAAAACAGTATTTTAGCATCGGATGGACAATTTTCAACGGTTGAACATGAAATTTTCAATTCGCAATCAGCATGTATAAATTCAACAACAAGCGGATGGTTAAAATTTCATCGAAAATTCCATATTTTCATTACAAACTCTCAATTTATCACTAACTATGAATTGAGGAAATCTTTGGAGGGATCTCAGATTGCACGTGCGTTAGTATCATGCAATTTTTCACAGTCGAAAAAACTCATATGAGTTCATTCCATATGCACCCAACGAACGCGATAGATAGAGGAAGAGGCTGAATGTAAACTACTGAATCGATGGAGTAAAACTTTTCGTTGCTGAAACTTCATCATTCTCTGAAGTCTCCACGAGGTTTCCATGATATTCAGGTGTTGTAATATACCCCGTAAGTTTTTTTTCCTCTCCTCTTTCATTGCGACCCCTTAATTCACATTCTGGGCCTGTGGGCTGCTCTCCTCATTACACATAAGACTGCGTTTTCAGCATAAAAAAACTTTTTTAGTGACTTTATCCAACTGTCTCCCTTTCTGTGTCCTGCAGTGTCGTAAAGGGGAGCAACTCGGGGTGAAAATAAGTCAGAGAAATTCATTTATTCCTGCAATGAAGGCGAGAATACACCGATGAACTCGCCAGCCAAGTGGAATGAGGCGATAAGTAATGATCATTCAGGAATGACCGTGTAGAGGGACAATCGAATTATCTGAGAAGGAAATATAGTTACTACTATTGTAATAGTAAATATAGAGTGATAAATATTGTTTATGGAATACCAAAGTAAATTATTTCTTGAAATTCCATATAACAATTTGACAAAACCAAAAAAAAAAAATGGTTTCTCGATATTACAAAATTTTTTATTTCTCCAACTCATTCTGAAAATTGAAACTTCCATTGCAATTCAATGGTATATTAATTAGAAAAAATTATCAATCGATTCTTTTTCGCGTGCGCGTGAAAATGGAGAATTACGAAAATATTAATGAAGTAGACGAGAAATGGTATTGCTACAATTGTCATGTACATTACGTCATTAAAAACAAGTGTTTATGCAAATAATTGTCGAGATTCGTAAATGGTTGATCCTTTTCACTGGTATCCATCGCCACGGCCATTCCGTTGTATACCACTGGCAATGTTGAAGCACTCCATTACGTTGGCCTTACGACGGGTAATCTGGTAATAGCATGTCGGCAAGTGACCCATTTTTCAGACAACGCCAACTCGTTAGCGCTCGGGAATCCTCCCAACTCGCTCCTGGTCCTGCGCTATTTCTCTGTCCTGTCCTTCCTACACCCACTCTCTCCGCCCCTTTTATCATCATCTCTTATTCCACTCTGTCGAGTCTTTCCGTGGCGCCTCGTTGGAACCACCGGAAATGTCCAGTTTCATCTCTTTCATGAGAAAGAATTAAATAACTGCTCTTATTTGACATCATCTTGGTGCATTACCCAGCCATGTTATTAAACCATTGCTCCTGGTCATCTGAATTTTCTATAAATTCAAACGGTAATGGAAGAATATCATATGTCAAAATCACATTCACATCGCTCTTGACATCGCCCTTTGATCATTTTTATTAAAAAGAATGTGCTCATTGAAGCGAATGACCTTTGATATATTGGAATGAAGAAATTAACTGGTCGTCATGAAAACTAGTTTTTTGTTCATAGTAGAGAAAGGTTCGAATTAATTGGACAATCGAACAAATGGGCTTTCACATTTTCCATGCTTTGATTCAATTCTAGCTTTTCATGCGGAGGTTTTTCATTTTTTTTTGTAATTTAATACGATTTTTTTATTTAGCTTAACTAGATAAAAATAATTGCTCTCTGATACAACTAAAACCCCCGGGAAAAACCAAAATTTTGTTAACCATAAATGAAAAACTTGTTGTGTAAACTGCATGCCCTATTCATAGCATGGAAATATCGCACGTAAAGTTTTACCTCGACATACGACCCAACTAACCCAATTTTCCTTCGACTTGAGAACTGCATACAAGATTGAGAGAACTCCTATTGCTGAAGAAAATGTTTTTCTCCATGTGCTGACCTTTTTCAAAATAACATCGTTTATATCCCTTCCCATTTAATTTTAATTTCCACTCCAGAATGCCCCTTTTCGAATTTTCTTCAGGTCTCTCTGAATTAATTGGACCCAATTCCATCAATGGCTTTCAATTTTATTCCACATTATTAATTAATTTTCGAGTGAGGTGAAAGAGTGGGTGTGAGCGGATCACAGCGGGGCGATACGCTTTCCAGATAATTCCGGCCCGTCAGGGTGTTAATGACAGGGCCTCAGTGTGACATGAATTTTCCCGGCATTAATGCTGAAAATCGTCTGTACTCAACCAGATATTTTCCTCTCAGATGCAACTGGGGTGCGCTTTGAGGGACCTGGGGAGAGGGCTCAGTCATACGGTCAGGATGTCGACGTGACTTTGCACGCCGCCTCGAGTCTTCATATCTCCCGACATCACTGACAGAGCAGTTTGCCCTGCGCCGCAACTACAATATAAAATCTCTCCTCTCCCTTTTCACTTGATTCTCACCCATTCCAAGCAGTTGAAGTTGTACGCAAGCGTCAAAATTCGAGAACAACCCTCTGCAGACTCATTTGGCGCGCGGCAACTCACCCACTCACTTTGTCCGTGCAAAGTTCCACATCTGTACACCGGGTAAATAAAATAACACCAAGTACACCGTCGAAATAAACGACAATACTTCAATTGAATTTTCAAAAAAATTGATCGCGTGAGAAATTTTTCAATTAACCCCTGAAGATTGATAGACCGTAATTCACCGATTTTCAACGGTTTCGACAGTTTAACGGTTTTAACAATTGCCATGATTCAGTAAAAACAATAATTTTATAAATTTGTTGGGGATAATGGAATTGCATTAGTTTATCTTTTCTCCGAGTTTCAATGGAATTATGGTATTATAATGTCTGATATCAATGAATATTGCTCCGTAATGATGTCTGTGTGTATATCGCGTGACATTGTCGCGTGGTGTAAGCGACGTTTGTGCAAGGAAGCCTCTAGGTATTGAGACAGATTTACGTATGCTGAATCTCTGGTGGATATCTTGCGGTGATACCAAGTGTTTACTGTGTATTTGTGCGCGAGTGTATCGAAACGCTGGGCGACATATAGTGTCAACAAGAAGGAATAAATCTCAAGTGAATCATTGTTACGTTCACAAAGGGACTTATTATTTTTAACAATAAAAAATGTTGTTTACTATTGTACTTTGGCTTCTGATGATTGAGACGCGTGGTGCACAAGGTAAATTCTTTCTTTTTCTTTCAAGCCGATATTAATGGATGGCCTGATGACCTCAATCGATTTTACACAGAGTTATTTTTCTATTGACATTCATTGCCACATTTGTGGTATCGAGTATTGGATTATTCAAGCCATTACGAGAAATATACAATAGATTCAACAACACTGCTCGCTATTTTCTCCGGCACATTTTTATCTTGGCAAATATTTGCGAAAATTCAGGAATTCTCCATCCATAATCCCCCATTTTTCGAATATTATCATCTCTAATAGCGGGAAATATTATTAGGATTCTTGAATGCACTGCAAACAGAATTAATGCGACATTCCCGGGATATAACTGCTAATTGTGTCCCTCACCGTGTTTCATATTCATGAGGCAGTAAACCACACTGGATTTTATGCATTCCATGTTTTTTTAATGTCACGACACCCCGCTATATCTTGTGAATTTTTACCAGGCAGGAAATACTGAAAGTTTGTTTTAATAATTTTATTTTAATGCACTTCAAGCATTCTCAACACACTGAAAGAACGGATTAAATGCATTAACATTTATTCCGTTCCATCACCGGTTGAATATTATTCACTTTCCCCGCCTGTTTAACTCATTTAACTTAAATTATCGCTGATGGGCACATCGAATGGAGATGACTGGTGAGTTTTATCATTTTTATTGTTAACACTCGACAAATAACTGCCTAGGGACACATGCTGAATACGAAATTATATAGACGTTTCACTATTCATCTCCCCCACATCCGTCGCTCTCGCATGATTCACCAAATCCGGAAATCTGTGAAAATCTTTGAAGGGAAATCACTTCATCGATTGAAAGTAGAGGGTCTCGTGTCGTACTTGAATTTCATCAGTGGATGAGTCTCAGAGAAAGATGGGGAAGGCTCGTACTTTCGGATTTTACTCGCTGAATTCTCATTTATCCTCCGATGAGTTTTACCCCAGGTTCCTTCATGGTATACTAGTCTTACTTTTAATCACAATTTTATCATTTGGACAGGTTAAAATTTCTTGCGGAACTCAGTAGAAATAAATGAATCTCGAGTCCAATGTCGAGGGAGGAATTGCAGGAAGTCAATAAAAATCTATAAATTGGTGTACATTGAGTTCGGTCACTAGCGCAAATTTCATCTCACGAAAGAAATGAAAAAATCCGAGTTTTATCGGTGTTTCAGGGTCGAGGAATAAAGTTTTGTGGTGCAATGTTTCAATACACCCATCGTGAAACTACTGGGTGTTTATAAATATACCACGGTATGAGGATTAAAAATTTTTAAATTAATTTCCTGTTTTTTTTTTTTAGACACCATGAAACACTGTAAAAATATTAACATCCTGAAATATTCATGGTGATATGATGTGAACGTCGGTAGGGTATTGAACCTCCTTCCATATTTCTCTGCAAAATTCATAAATCACAGGATGACGTTTCCTTTACTATGCGGCATCTGCGGTATCTGAAAAAAATGGTAAAAAGGGACTTTTTCATGTCACACCGGTCGTCAATCGCGGATAAAAAAGGGCCGCTTTTAATATATCTCCCGGACGCATGAGCTTTTAAAGACATCCAATAGCCATTACACCATCCTATAGCCCCAGATTGTCCTCCCATACCATCAGGCGTTTGACGTTTTTAAACAGGAACTCGAGGACCAGGATTTTCAGCCGGACATGCAAAATAAAATCAAGCAGAAAAATGAAAATAAGAATAAAAGTTCCCCTGCAAATTCATATTCAATAAAACCGTGGCGTATCTCTTAGAAAAATGATAAAAAATCTATACAAAACATGCTTGCCAAAAATGTTGAGAGGTTTACACATTTCACGGAATTTTCAATGCTGAGAGATTTAATGTGATTGACTACTGACGTAATTCATGGATGTTCCCATTGATGTAATAGAGGGATGATATGATGGGGAAATATATCAGAATGGTTGGATAATTTTGAGGCAGTATGGTCATTCAGAATGGTTGAGCCTGTTGTTGGCAATCAGGGATCCGGTTAAACGGGTTTTGCCAGTGATGAAAAGCGCTGCGACCGCTTGTTTCGTTGGTCCATCGCCAGGGTTACCTGCCGCAGCCATTTGTAGTTGCAGCTGTCTCACTCGACATACATAGGGTATATGGGCAAAGATAATACGAACAGAGAGAGAAGTTGTACTGTATGCTAGGTCGAATGGTTGGTGGTGGGTTACCACTTGGGTCTTGTCGTTCGCACCACCAGCTTGGATTATCCCTCTGCGACAATTAACAGTTAGTGATTCGGAAAACGAGGTAAAAACATGCCAAGTTGGGTGGAGAATGTGGGGTGGAGAGATGGGGTCGATGGGTTGATGGGATGGGGTCAGGATGCCTAATAAGACTGGAAGCCATGAGGAGGCAGTACAGGAAAGAATTAAATGGCTCGGTGACTTTACCACAAACAAGTTGCGAGAAGATTCTCTCACTCAGTTATCAGGGGAAAACCCTTGGCTCTCTCATACTATCGGAGTCACTCCCTCTCTTTGCAAGTACTTCTCGTCGCCAAAAGCTCTTCTCCTCTGCCGGCTGCCTACCAACGATACCAAACTATGATGTTAAGTAGTTTATATGGGCACAAGAGCTATCGCTTTTACGACACTTTTACCATAGCATGAATTGACACTCGTTCCACTTTATTTGATACTTACTTTTTTACCTTTTTTCATTTGTTTGTTACTATTCCTTTTCTTTCTTTTCTGCCCCTCTCTGTATTTTTATAGCCGTCTATTTTTATGGCTTGGTTTTTGTACCTGCGAGAACATTGTAATGTGCTTTTGTTTGTTTTTGTATTGAAATTTTCACGTCAGCCAATATTATTATTATATTTTTGATAAGCTCCTTTTAACATTTCTCGTTTGTATTCTTGAATTTTTTTTATTCCACTATTTTCAACGCTCTTGTTAAGTAGTAAGAATGGAGTTGTTACTGGCGGTTATTTTTATTTCCAATGCTTTTTGTTTATTTTTTGGGGGATTTTTTTTTTCTCCATTCAGTCGGTATGTTCGACGTGTACAAAGGGATTAACCAGATTTTGTGGGTACTGTACTCGTTGTTGGAAAAAGTTTCATAGTTTTTTTGTTGCCTGTCTACCGTGAGAGAGTGGAAATTAAAATTTTATACCAACATGAATTTCGTTCCTGTAGAATGAATATATTTTTAAATGAATAAATTAGAAAAAAATGGATTTTTTTGCTCAGGATTTTTTTTTATTACATTTCGAATCATCGGTACAGAAAAATAAAGTGAAATTGTCTGCATCTCTGGATGTGTTTTCGAAAATTTCTGCAGGGCGGTTTGAATCCGATAATTACCAAAAAATGGAAGAAAAAGTAATATAGGATGACATAGGAAATGGAAAAATGCGGGACGCAATGCCGATTTGCGATGGGAAGTAATTTGACGTGGAAAATGAATAGAAATCCACTTTCCTGTTGAATTACCGTCGTCAGGATTACCGTTTACCCAAGTAATTGAAATTCCTGATGTTTTAATTTTGGAACAGGATTTACAGAATATTAAGAATCCTGAATGTAGGCCAGGAAGACGAAAGGAGTAGAAAGAGATATTGATTAACATTCGATCCATAATTATAAATTAATCCATACGGAATTACACAACCATTCATCAGAGTGCCTGACAAATGGTAAAGTGAAATTACTGTGAGGACACACAACACACTATTTCCTGCTTGATGTATCTCTCCAGTTATAAATAATGAATTCCATTGTTCGTAAATTAAATTTTCTTTAGCATCATGATTTGAAAGTGACTCATTCGCGATACAATTATTTCGTTTCAATTTCGTGATGAATGTGATCTACATGGAGCATAAAAATTCACTACGATATACACTCCAGAATTCCCCAGAGGAAAATATTATGGAATATTCAACGATACGGAGTACGCGTCATCTGATTTCCTTGTAATAAATTGGCCAATGAGAAATGAGTGTTCATAATTAATGAATGCTCGATTAATAATAAACTTGTTGGTAATTAAACTTCATCCATTCTGTAATCACCTCACACACGAAATTCACAACAGTATCACAAAGCCACACCTGTATCAGGTAGCGGTTTGTGGGTGTACAGAGACGAGGGTGTGAATCCTGACCCGGCACAAAGTTTTTGGAGTGCCATTAAAGTGTCGCACCCTAGTGCTTCTGCTGAACATTGGTCGTTCTGGCCTTCAGAAGGGCTCCCTCGTGCCTCGATGGAGCGAAAAAAAAAAAATGCCATGGCGGCAAGAGAAGAAAAAAAAAACAAAAATGATAAAAATCGATTGAAAAAATATATTGGAAAAGTGCAAAAGTTTTCGGTGCAAAACGAGTGGTATTTTATCCGAGTGTGATATTACCATGGACGTTAAATTGTTTTTCCAGTTTTTCCAGTTTTTCACAGTTTTTCACTTGGTCTGTTTACGCGGATGTATATCGATTCTGATTCGAGCCATTACTTAAATTACCGTGGGGTCACGGTATTCCAGCTGGAACCGCGATAAATAATGCAACGTCGTGATCTCGATGGGTGAATGGAGGTGAAAATGCAGAGCTTTTGGAGGGGGATATTTTGGTGGATATGAAAGAGTAGTATGAATTCTCAACGTGGCCACAGGCGGCCGTTCGCTTGTCTACATTCGCTTGAAATACTGCCCCGAGAGATGGTCAGCCCTCCCACCTATACACCCGCTGGCAAGCTGACATTGAATTATATTTCATAGCAACCTACCACAAAAACCATTCAGCTTTACACAGTCTCAGGAATATCCCATGATCGTTTTGTCAAAATCTCCAACAATTTGTTACCACATCCTTTTATTCGTTTAATTTTATTTCTCTTCAACCGATTATTTGGTATTTTTTTTTCATATACAAATACACTTGCCGAGAGATGCATTGATTTTTCAATGGTCGCTTGAATTCTCGGACTCGTCATTAAAATTCAATTCCAAATTCATTTTT